GCAGAATCTCATCTGCCATCATCAGGCTTCTGTATTGTGTTCGTCTGTGAGTCAGACTTTCACAGCCATTTCTGTTTTAAATTTGGTGCTAGCCTACTGCTGTGCCAGAATGGTTTTTTCTTCATCCTGATTGGTTGGGAGTCTTGGTCTGTGTTTATTGGTCTTAGAGTTTGCTGTGTTCTGCTTGATTGGTGTTTCTAATATCTTCTGTCTGTTTTGTAGCTTTTTTTGTCTTGATTGGCTGGCAACATTGTGTTTCCTGTATTGGAGGCTTTTAGTGCAGCTTGGCTCCGAGTAAACGGATGGCTATCATTTATTAGGAAGCTAGGTTTCATCTGGGTGCCTGGTTGGGGTGTGTTTGAGCTGGAGGTATCGGGGGGGTCTGTTTGTGCCCGGGTGTTTGCCTGTCCAGGTGCCCAGGTGTTTGCCTGACTCACCAACTGAGTGAGAAACAACCAACTGAGGAAGAAACAACCACAAGAAGAGGATTTGTCTTCAACTGCCTATACTGTTAGGAAATGTTTTTCTTGTGGGGCTAGGGGACATATAGCTAAATTCTGTAAGAAGGGAAAACAACAGAATACTAGTAAACACCAGAAGGCTAAGAAGAATGTTAGTTTAGCTATGTCTAGCAATTACCTCAATAAATCACTAAGGTTTATACAATAGCAATAGCAAATTAGACATATACCACTTCACAATATTTTACAGCCCTCTTTAAACAGATAACAGAGTCAGTCTCTTGCCCCCAACAATCTGGCTCCTCATTTTACCGACCTCGGAAGGACGGAAAGCTGAATCAACCTTGAGCCAGTCAGGATTGAACTCTTGGCAGCGGGCAGAGTCAGCCTGCAGTACTGCTTTCTAACCACTGTGCCACCATGGCTCATATAAACCATTTGATGCCCTCTTTATACCATTAACTGTTTCAAGTCCAACATGTACTTTTCATTCATGAATAATCTGCAGTGCTTGAAATGTTTTTTTTAGAATCGGTCTTGACTGCAAGCAAAGGGAAGTGCCAACTCTGTTTTGTTCTACATCACCAAGCAATGTCCCTGCAGCTTTTTGTGGATACAGGGAAATGTTTCATCAGAAAGTAACCTCTCTTTTTTCTTCTTCTTTTTCCTTTGGAAGGTTTTAAGCACTTTGACCATGACATCAAGCAACATCTCCGGAATCTATTACTGTGTGGCTTCCAACAAGTTGGGCATCGAAAAGAGAAGCATCAGGTTCTATATCACAGGTAAAGAATGTGCATCACCCCCAGAGGCCCAGAAATATCTGGTGGAAGCACAGAAAATGCAACCTCCAATGATTTTCATGGGGAGCAGGTCAAAAAAGGCAAGATGGTGGCTATCACCATGCAATCAAAACTCCTTTACAAACAGATAGACAGATAGATAGATTTTTTTTTCTTTTAATGCCCCCGTGATCTCTTGCATCGGGGTGCAGTTGGGGAGACCAAATGAAGCTTGAGTGTTTTATTAGCCGGATGCCCTTCCTGATGCCTATTTGGAGTTCGCAGCAGACAATATTAATTGAATCCAATGAGAGAAATACCTGCCGCTACTAGGATTAAACCTCACAGCCTCCTATTTGTGAGGCAAGAGCTCCACCTCTAGGTTACTGTGCCACTCAAGATAGAGAGATAGAGAGATAGAGAGATAGAGAGATAGAGTGATAGAGAGATAGAGTGATAGAGAGATAGAGAGATAGAGTGATAGAGATAGAGAGATAGAGAGATAGAGTGATAGAGAGATAGAGTGATAGAGAGATAGAGAGATAGAGAGATAGAGTGATAGAGTGATAGAGAGAGAGAGAGAGAGAGAGAGAGAGAGAGAGAGATACTGTAAACAGATAGATAAGAAATGCTCTCCTCTCCTTTTTCTTCTCCTCCTTCCTTTCTTTTCCTCTTCTTTTCCTCTTTCTCTCCCCTCCTCTTCTTCTCCTCTTCTTTCCTTTGCCTCTCCTCCTTCTCCTCCTCTCTGCCCTCCACACCAAAGAGCACTCCATATTTTACAACTGCTTTTGCATTTCTGATGTGAGCAGAAGCGAGTTAACTATGTCTTTCCAATCATCTAATGCTGCTCTCAGTCCTTCCCTTCTGTAGAGGGTGGGGTGGGAAAGACTCTTTGCTCAGGGGCTCCCATTCCGGTTTGGGGGCTCTTGAAAGCCAGCCCTTGAGGCCCACTGCAGGCCACACGATGGGCTGCTCTAGTTCAACCCTTACTTTGGAAGTTGTATCTACCATGCAGAAGAGCCTTCTGCTAAATCACTTCCTTATTTGTCACCATTTTGTGGAAGTGCCCACGACATGTTCTCCAACCATGCACTGTTCAGGTACTCCTCGACTTACAATAGTTTATTTGGTGACTGGTCAAAGTTACGACAGCACTGAAAAATTTGACTTATGGCCATTTTTCACAGTTACGTCTTTGCAGCATCCTTTGATCATGTGATCAAAATTCAGATGCTTGGCAACTGGTTCATATGATCCCCTGGGGTGACTTTCTGACAAGCAAAGTCATTGAGGAAGCCAGATTCACTTAACAACTAACTTAACTACTGCAGAGATTTGCTTAACAACTGTGGCAATAAAGGTCATAAAATGGGGCAAAACTCACTTAGCAAATGTTTCACTGCATAACAGACATTTTGGGCTCCATTGTGGTTATAAGTCGAGGACTATCTGTATTTTGAAGCCTTCTTCTCAGGGGTGGAAACAAGGAAGTCCCCCATATACTCAGCTCAGAGGTGGCATTCAGTAGATTCTGACCAGTTCTGGAGAACCAGTAGCAGAAATTTTGAGTAGTTTGGAGAACCGGCAAATATCAATATCTATTCTCTGCCTCCCATTGAGTCCCAGCTGATTGGCTGGATCTCCTTTTGTTTCCCTGCACAGGAGAACAGAGCTGGAAAGCAGGTTAATGGGGTGGGGAGGGAATGGGGATTTTGCAGTATCCTTCCCCTGCCACGCCTGCCATGCCACGCCCACAGAACCGATAGTAAAAAAAAAAATTAATCCCACCGCTGACTCAGCTCCATCTGGGTCCAAATGATTGGCCTGCTTCTCTCCGCTGTTTCTTGCAGACATGCAGTCCAGCCTAGAGGCCAACTCCCAAATGACAGCTATTGTGACCAGTCACGTCCAGATGACCTGCAAGTGCTCGAAGTACCTTTATGATCAGCTCACCTGGTATGACCCCACCTTGCAGGAAGTCCCCACATCTCTCACCCAGGAGAAGGTGGACAACTATACCATCTCCTTAGTGCTGAACATCCATAATGTCTCCCAGGCCCACGCAGGGCTTTACAAGTGCCGAGCCTCAAGCTACCACAACCGCACTAAGCAGCTGGAGAAAAGCACCATGCTCAGCATAAAATGTAAGAATGCCAACATCTGCCCCATCGTGCTCTTGGCCGGCATGTGGCCTATATTTTCTCTAATACAGTATTTTTCACCCTGGGCAACTCTAAGATGTATGGACTCTAACTCCCAGAATTCTGGCGGGGGAATTCTGGCTGGGGAATTCTGGGAGCTGAAGTCCGCACATCTTAAAGTCGCTGAAACTGAGAATCTCTGCTTTAATATATGGGCTCCAAACATGGCAACTTTTAAGACTTGTGGACTTCAATCCCCAGAAATCCTCAGACAGCCATGCTGGGTGAGGAATTCTGGGATTTGACGTCCATAAAGTTGCCAGATTTGAAGACCTCTGCTCTAAGAGAATGCTGTTTTTTTCTAACATTTCCATAGTATGGACTTATTTATGAGCAGTTTTGAGTTACAGCATTGCAAAATTCCAAACAAGGCAATTTTGGCAATATTCCAATTTATATGCAGCTATTATTTTGGCAATATTCCTATTTACATAACGGGACAGCCTTTGCAAAATTGATCCTCAAATTCTAGCTATCTCCATGTGTTTGGATAATTAGGCAGAAACATACAAATCAGGCAAGGTTTCCAAATTTACCATAATTAATTTCTGGTAGGAAGTCAGATGCAATTAGTACTAGAGATGGAATCAAATCAGTAGAAATGATAGAATTTCTTCAACTTGTGAAGAACAAAGAAATAAAAGGAAAATTTTCTAGAATGAAACGATGTAAGTCAGTTATGTTAGTTTTAAAAAATCAGATAGACCAGGATTAATTTGGTGAACAAAACAGCACATCAGAAAGCCCAGGGAACCAAGGACATTTGAGAAGAGACACAATTGGGAGAAGCAAAACCTGCCTTGTAAAGTTACTTTCATTCTGAAAGTTCATAATTAAACTGAGATGAGTCATTATTATTTTTTTAAAAAAACCCACAATTTTTACTCACCACACGTTCTTTTTGAGGTCAGAATTGGAGAGGGGAACGGGGTCCCAGATTTCATTCCTTAATGGGGAGAAAAGGAAAAAGCATAGATGTTGAGCAGATATTATAAATTGAATTGGTATTTATCTTTGGAATCTTGAGGACTAATAACTTATAGAACATTTTATGGTAGAGGAAGAGGAGGAGCTTGTTCATTTTCATAGTAACAATTTAATTTTTTTTTTCTAGGCAACATTTACTTTTAAATATCTGTGGTGTCCCAGCAGAGTTGATTTGATCTTTATAATTTTCTTATTTTCTTTTGTTCAGGGTTGCCTCGGTGACCACAGAAGTGCAAAGCTTTTGGTGTTGAAATCTGTCATTTTCCCTTTGTTTGCAGTTAAGACGGTGCCTTACATTATGCAGAACTTTACCGACTTGGAGGTTAACGTGAGTGGGACCATCGTTCTGGAGTGCAAAGTCAATGGCATCCCCAAACCTGCTATTGCTTGGCTGAAAAATGGCCACCGCATCGCCCCGGCTTCAGGTGAGCCTTCTGAGGCAGATGCTTCTACTCTTGCTTCTTTCTTTCTAGGAGTTGAAGTCCACGAGTCTTAAAGTTGCCAAGTTTGGGGACCCCTGCTCTAATACATGATGCATGGAAAATAAAGCTCCCTTCTCCCCTCTGTCCCGCATCCCCTTCCTTCTTCCAGGAATTTCCATGGAAAACAACACTTTGGTGATTGAACGAGTGAAGAAGGATGATGAGGGTCACTATGAATGCCAAGCGATCAACGAGATGGGACAAGACAGCACTCGAGCGTTTATTAAAATAGAAGGTGAGAGGTGCAAGACGAAACCGTTTGTCTCGAACAGTTTATGCTGGGACTACAAACGCAGAGGTGGGTATTCAGCAGGTTCTGACCAGTTCTGGAGAACCAGTAGCGGAAATGTTAAGTAGTTCGTAGAATCGGCCAATCCCACCTCTGACTGGCCGCAGCCCCCATCTATTCTTTGCCTACCGACTCCCAACTGATCGGCTGGGTCTTCTTTTGTTGCCCTGCCCAGGAGAACGGAGCTGGAAAGCAGGTTAGTGGGGTGGAGAAGGAATACCCTTCCCCTGCCATGCCCACCAAGCCACGCCCACCAAGCCACGCCCACAGAACCGGTAGTAATCTTTTTTGAATCCCACCACTGTACAAACCCCATGACTTTTAACTGTTGTTCAACAGCCCAAAGCTATCAAATACAGGTACGGTTCATTGCAAAGGAAGCTTGATGGAGTGGCTTAATGGATCTGGAGTCAAAATCTTCTCATGTGTGTCTTTTTCAGGCTCTGAAGAAAAATCCAACATAGAAGTTATCATCTTGGTTTGCACTGGTTTAGCAGCCACTCTCTTTTGGCTCCTTCTGACCCTCTTCATACGAAAACTCAGAAAAGTAAGGTGATCCTCATGTTTTAGGCTTAGCAATGAATCACTTTAGATCAGGGCTGTCCAACCTTGGCCCCTTGAAGCCTGGCGGACTTCAACTCCCAGAATTCCCCAGCCAGCTTTGCTGGCTGGGGAATTCTGGGAGTTG